AATAATGGTGACTGAAACTGCAAGGTGCTGAACAGTGAAACTAAACATAACAGTACAAATACTCAGTCACGTTTGGGTTTTGTTAAATCTGTTCCTAACATCTGCCTGTTTTCAGTCAGATCCATGTTTTTATTTGTGAAAAATGGCAGCTACTACCTGATACTATATTTTACAGGTTTTGTGTCCTGAAAACCAAGGGCCTGTTTAACCTCTTGACAGTTCAAGAATTGCATGGGTGGAAAATGCTTTTCTTTAAGTTTCTTTATATAAGAAACTGTCCTTTAGCTCTAAATTTAACAAAGTAACTAATACTTGTCTAATCATTGAGAGATGTAAAACCAAGTAATTCCGAGGCTCAGCCTGGCTTTTGACAAAGTTCCTATCATTCATTTCCATGGTTTGGCCACAGAAAACAAGACAGATTACTTTTAATTTACTTTTGTGACTTTAAAACTCTTAACTGTTATTCCCAAGATAAACATTACTAACCTCTAGAAGTACGATGTTGAGAACATTTACCAGTGCATCAAAATCTTAGGGGTTTGCCTTTCCTGAAACCCAGGTGATATTTTTATTAGGTCTGTTTTTGTTTCTTTAAGGGCATAGAAAAATTCCCATTTCTCCCACCAGAGACTGTTCACTAGATTACATTAAAAACTTAAAAATCTTTCTTAGACTTTTATCTCTTTTAGTTTTTAGTTTATTCTACCTTGTGTGTGCTTTAATTGTCTTTTGAGGAAGCAATGGGCTGTCCCAAAAATTATCTGGTGTTTAACACTCTCAGGTTCTTCCCACCTTAATTATTTTTCTTTGAAAACTACTACTTACCTTTTTAAATTTTTAAAAATATTTAAAAAATTTTTCAATTACAGGTGATGTACAGTATTCTATTGGTTTCCGTTGTACAACCCAGTGATTAGACATTTATGTAACTTACAAAGTGATCACCCCAATAAATCTAGTACCCATCTGACACCACAAATAGTTATTACAGTATTATTGATTATATTCCCTATACTGTACTTCACATTCCCATGACTGTTTTGGAACTACCAATTTGTACTTCTTAATCCCTTTACTTTTTTCACCCATCCCTCCAGCCTCCCCTTCCATCTGGAAACCATCAAAATGTTCTCTGTATCTATGAGTCTCTTTCTGTTCTGCTTGTTTGTTTATTTTGTTCTTTAGATTCCACATATAAGTGAAATCATACGGCATTTGTCTTTCTCTTGACTTACTTCACTCAGTACAGTATCCTCTAGGTCTATCCATGTTGTTACAGATGGCAAGATTTCATTTTTTTTTATGGCTGAGTCATATTCCATTGTATATATGCACAATTTCTTCATCCATTCATCTACTGATGGGCACTTAGGTTGCTTCCATATTTTGGCTGTTGTAAATAATGTGGCAATGAACATACGGGTGCATACATCTTTTCAAATTAGTGTTTTGGGTTTCTTTGGATAAATGCCCAGAAGAAGGTCCTTTGGATAAAGGACCCAGATTGCTGGGTCCTTCTTTGTCCTGTTATAGCCTTTGTTTTAAAGTCTATTTTGTCTAGTATAAGTATTGCTACCATAGCTGTTTTTGTTTGTTTTCGTGAAAAATCTTTTTTTATCCCTTTACTTTCAGTCTCTGTCTTTTTATCTGAAGTGAGTCTCTTGTAGACAGCATATTAAGGGTCTTGTTTTCTTACTCGTTTAGCCACTGTATGTCTTTTGATTAAAGCATTTAATCTATTTGCATTTAAAGTAATTGTTGATATGTAGTTACTGCCATTTTATTCACATTTTTTATCCTTTTTTTTCTTTGATGGTGATGGACTCCTTTAGTTTTTTCTTGTTTGAAAAGCTCTTTATCTGTCCTTCGATTCCAAATGATAGCTTTGCTGGGTATAGAGTAATCTTAGTTGTAGTTCCTTGCTTTTTGCATCACTTTGAATATTTCTTACCATTCCCTTTTGGTCTGCAAAGCTTCTCTTGAGAAATCAGCACATTACCTTGTAGGTAACTGCCTTCCTCTTGTTGCTTTTAATATTCTCTGTCTTTAACTTTTGGGGTTTTAATTATGATGTATCTTACTTAGTGTGGGCCTCTTTGGGTTCATTTTGTTTGGGACTTTGCACTTCCTGGACTTGTATGTCTATTTCCTTAACCAGGTTAGAAAAGTTTTCCATCATTAGTTTTTCAAATAGGTTTTCAATTTTTTGCTGTCCTCCTATTTTTCCAGCATCCCCATGATGTGAATGTTGGTATGCGTGATATTGTCCCAGAGGCTCCTTACATTATTCTCATTTTTATGGATTCTTTTTTCTTTTTTACTGTTATGATTGGGTGTTTTCTGCTACCTTATCTTCCGAATCGCTGATTTGATTATTTGCTTCATCTAATCTGTTGATTCCCTCTAATGTATTCTCCATTTCATGAATTGTATCCTTAATTTTTGACTGGTTCTTTTTTATGTCCTCTAGATCCATTTTTTTTTTAAATCTCTTTGTTAAAATTCTCACTGAGTTCATGTACCTATTCCCTAAGTTTATTGAGCATCCTTATAACCAGTATTTTGATCTCTGCATTGGGTAGATTGCCTAATCTCCATTTTTTTTAGTTCTTTTTCTGGAGTTTTGTTTTGTTCTTTTGTTTGGAACATGTTTCTTTGTGTTCTCATTTTGGCTGCTTTCCTGTGTTTGTTTCTATCAGTTAGGTAGAGGTGCTTTGTCTCCCAGGTTTGGTAGAATGGCCTTATGTAGTAGGTGTCCTATAGGATCCAGTGGTGCATCCTCCCCTGTCACTCAAGCTAGGTCCTTCAGTTACACCTCCCCTTCCCCCAGTGTGGGCTCTGTGCACCTTCCTGTTGTAGTTGAGCATTGATTGCTGTTGGCATGTTAATGGGAAGGATTGACATGCAGGCCAATCTGCTGCGAGGACTGGCTGTGACTATAGCAGAGGATCTGCTGAGTAGGAACATACCCCTGTGGAGCAGGACTTCCTTCAGCAGGGCTCTGGTGCTCATCAAGTACCCCCCTTGAGAGTGTCACTTGTGGAGGTGGTTGGGTGGTACTCTGGCGTGGTCTGAAGCTGTCCACCAGGGGTACTGACTAAACCTTCTGGGAGATGCAGGCCAAGGTCAGTTGCTGCCTATGCACTGTCCAGGGCCACCCAGCATGAGGTACAAAGCGAACTGCAGGTAGCTGCTACTTAGCCTGGTCTTGGAGGTGCCTGGGTGAGAACCGAGGCCAGCTGCAGCTAGTGCTGGGTTTGGGGCCACTTAGCAATATAATGGAGCACACTGAGGCCAGATGCTGCTTGTTTGGAGTTTGTGAACCTTTGAGAGATTTTAGGAAAGTTCACAGCATGAGCCAAGATAGATTTTTATGGAAAAGCCATTGGAAGCCACTTGGGTGGGTCTGAAAGTTGGGTGGGCAGAGTGAAGGAATCGCCCAGTGTGGGGGAAGGCTCAGAATAGCGCCTACCTGCTCCTGAAAGGAACAGTGGCCTCTGCTAGCACTTTTCTCTTGGAGAAAGCGGCCCCTCGAGCCTCCAAAGCCAGATTCAGTATGTTCAGAGCAAGTGAGTCTGAGTAAGTTCATGTGGTCCCTTTGAGAGTAGCACCTTGGACTTCAGCAGCCCTCTATCTTAGTCAGCCATAATTCCAACTGGTGTTTACAGCTAGAAGTTATAGAGTCTTCTCTCTGGCACTGGAACTCTGTGCTGGGGGTCCTGGTATGGGGCTGGAAATCCTCTTCAGGGGGACCTCAGAGATGTCCCTCTTGATTTTTATTCGTTATACATGGGTGTGAGACCTGCCCATTCCTTGACTCTGCCTCTCCCACTAGTCTTAACATGACTACTTCTGTATATCCTTAGTTATAGCACTACTGTTCAGTTAGACTTCAGGCAGTTCTTAGTGATGGTGTTTCTTAATTTTTATGTGGTTGTGGGAGGATGTGAGTACCATGATTACCTACACTGCTATCTCAACTGGAAGCCAAGTCTGAGGAAGGATTGCCTTTACATTTGCCTATGCCAATGGTTTTACTTTTTTTTTTTTTATCCTCACCAAAGGATAATTTTTTCCATTGCTTTCAGAGAGAGTGGAAGGGGGGGAGAGAGAGAGAGAGAGAAACATCAATGTGAGACAGACACATAAATTGGTTGCCTGGACCAGGGATTGATTGAGCCTGCAACTTAGGTATGTGCCCTTGGCTGGAATCACACATGGGACCCTTCAGTCTGTGGACCGATGCTCTAACCACTGAGCAGAACCGGCTAGGGCTATATTAATGGTTTTAAGTGGCCAGATAAATTGATACCTGTTTCAACTCAACTGCCTGGCACCTTACATTTTCTCTCTGTTTTATGATAGTTTTCAAAAGTTTATTAACTTTTTACCCAGTTTGATTTATTGATAAAGGATGTTAGAGTTTAATGAGTTATTCCTTTTTCCTTAAATAGAGATGTGATATACTTCTCCTGTGTAGGTAGAATTTGTAACATGATTTATGATGATTCTGTTTGGCTTCCCAAACAATTGATCATTTGGATATTTTCATGTTTATTCTCTATATTGTTTATGTATGCTCATTTTGTATTTTAACATTCGCTCTCTTATTGATGTTAGTGTACTGCTTTTGTGAGTTGAAACTTCTTACTTGTGTTTCTGAGTTCTCTAAATTCTGATTCTTTTAGTCCTTGTTGTATGATCACAAGTTTACTCTACATTTAATTAATGTGTTATTTCCTCTCTTTGCATATAAATGGTAGCATCTAGAAACAAGGCTCTGCAGAATGTTTAATTTTTCTTCATATTTTTGCTGCTCTTTTAATGTTCAGTGAAAATGTTTAAAGTATAGTATAAGCTTGATTTTGATTATAAACCTCATAATATTTTGACTGTTTATAAGCAAAGTAAGTGAGATGAGGGATATATTTCATGTCCCTAATATTAATGTTTCTGAATGGTAGCTAAATGCCTTATCTCTTTATTTTGTCTCCTAGGGTTATGATCATAGCTACTACTTCATTGCTACATTTATTACTGATCACATCAGACATCATGCAAAATACCTGAATGCTTGAAAAACTTCAGATAAGAGAATCTCTTCAGGATTATAAAAATTGTAATAAGCAGAATTGCAGGGGGAAAAGATTTCAAAACATTGTATTTCATAATGCTAAAAACGCTTCATTCTGTAATTGAATCACCTTCTGAATAAATATATGAAATCTTCTGATTTTAAAAATTATTTACTAACATTCACATGGGAAATATTTAATACTTCATAGGTTTTTTGAGGTCATTTGGAAATCATCAGTGTATTGACATCAGGTCACAGAATATGAATGTAATCCCATTCAAATCATAGAATGCCAACTGTGGAACAGAGGATTTAAAGGTAATTTAGACCGAAATATTCACCTTTCCAGACTTTAAGCCACTAAAGGTATAGACTGTCTTCATGTTCATTGTATCTCTAGTGTCTAGCAACTGCTTGGCTTCTAGTAGGCATTTTAATAATTACTTGTTAGCTTTGAATCAGGAAGTAGGCTTAGAAAGGTTAAGTGAATTCCTCATCATTATACGATTATTTGTGAGACAGCTAAGATTAGAAGCCAGATTTCCTAAACCCAACCCAGTGATACTTCTTATCTTTTGAGCCAATAGATTTATGGACATAGGTTTTTGTATGTCTCTGAAAGACAAGAATTAAATAATATGATTTATCTGAAAATAGCTAGTAAAGAAACATAAGTTTCATCTGTTACTGTAAACATAGACTTTTCTCTTAGTTACATGTAGAAATTTAGCTTGTTGAGTTCACCAAGAAAAGTAATCAGTCCCTTTGTAATACCAAATTGTGTTCCTTTAAGAACTTAGTGGACAAACTTGAAACATAGTAGATGAAGTCTGCTTGGTTTAAAAGAAATATATTTTTCTGTTGAAGAGCACGAAGTATATACATTTTAAACATCCAATAAGAATGCTTATTACATGGTAATGGAAGATATCAGGTTCTTTAAGTTATAAAGTTAGTACTATTTAAATATAATTAGATTGTTTTAAAAATTAGTGCTACTTAAATATCAGTAGTCAAAACAGCCCTATAGCGAGTTACACACAAAACGGTTCTAGTGTAAACAGGCTAGTTTCCTCTAATAAGATTATTTAATTCACGAATTTTTTACATGTTGGCAATTCCTTTATAAAGAAAAAGAACTGTGTGGTCCTAGGGTCATTGTATTAGTTGAGGATTTAGAGAAGCATAGCTAGTAGCAGATAAATACATTGAGAGATTTTCTGTAAGGAATTGGCCTATGTAATTCAGGGGGCTGACTAAAGAAGTCCGAAACCCATAGGGCAGACGGTCAGGAAGAGAAGTTCACGAGCAGGATTGAACTCCATGGGCATGGCTGCAGGTGTTGTCCGTAGGCAGAATTTCTTCTCTCTTGGAGGCCTCAGTCTTGCTTTTGAGGCCTTCTGAGGGCCACCAGATACTTTTCCTTATTTAAAGTCAGTTGATTAGGGACTTTATATCTCCAGAATCCCTTCAGAGCAACGTCTAGATTGAATAATTGGGAACCATGATCAACTTGGTACATCATAAGAAAATAGTTGTTTTACCTTTTTGCATGGTAAACACAAAAACATTTAAATATTCAGTAAATATTTGCTGACATACAGCCAATGATAACCAATACAGCCAATAATAAAGAAAAAGGCCTTCAGTTACAACATAGAATTGACTGTTGAGGATATATAGGACGCCAATAAATTTGAGCTACATACTGCAAATATTGGCCATAGGAGGGATGAATTCTTATATATGCCTAAATGTAAGATGTTTCCCCCACCAAAATATTTATCTTTCAGTCTCATACGTTATAAGGAACCATCTCAACAACNAAAAAAACCTAAGGATAAAACTGACATGCAGAGAGAAGTAGGGACAAGAGAGCAGAGAGAACCCTGGCTGGTATTTGCTTTCTTGGGTCGAGTCAAGGAGTCCCATCTTTCTGAAGCTTGGGTAGTCAGACTTTCCATGAGTACTTCCAAGAGGCTATGGCTTCAAATCAATTCAAGTTGAACTTCTATCACTTCTAAGAGTGCACACTACTTAGAAATTCAAGGTCACAGCAGGTAAGAAAGAGCAAGTCAGTCAAGTTCAGCTATGTGGCTGTTGCTGCGACTTGATTTGCCAATTCCTTTCAGCTGATGGCATTTCCTTTCTTCACTCAAACCCCAATCCTAAAATGAAAACTTTTAAAACATGGCTTTGGTTTCAGGAATTCTATAAACCAATGTAATCTGTGTTATATACTGTTTATGTCCAATGTGCCCAAATACAAGACAAGCCTGAAAGGAGGAATTTGCATCTTTTCTGATGAGGGTGTCCAAAAAAGTTGTTTGGCTAATTTAAAATGTTTATGAGCTCTGCAATATAAAATTCATGTCTACTTGTTACAGCTTATTACACATATATATTAAAAATTTTTAAATGTCACTTTATAATTTTTCCACTTTAAGATTTCATGAAATAACTTGATCCAAACTCTTCACTTCCATCTTCAAAATCAGAGACAACACTAGACCCACTTTTTGAAGCACCTTTACTTCTGAGTGGTTTCTAAGTGAGATACAACATTACATGGATTTATAGATGATGTGGTCACTGGAAATTTTATCACCGCAAATAAGTATTCTTTGTATAACATCAGGACTTTTTCTCCTTCATGCAGTAGTATTTTTTCTGATCTCCACAGCATAACTACTTAATACTTTTCCTAATTAAGTAAAAATACTTAAATATGTTTAAACTTCACTGAAGTGTAATGTGAAAAAGTGTATAAATCTTAAAGTGCACACACTTGTGTAACAAGCTCCCAGATTAAGAAAGAGAGCATCGCTAGTACCTTAAAGGCCCCCTCATACTGCCCTCCAATTACCTTCCCCGAGGGCCCACCCTGCCCCCTGCTATGGTAACACCATCCTGATTCTAACACCATGGATGAGTTTGCCTGGCTTAGAACCTTTTATAAAATAATACAAAACGATTTAGAGTATATAATTTAGTGTCTGGATTCTTTCACTCAAGATTGTATTTGAGGCCCCTCCATGTTGCTGCATCTAGTTGTGTTCATTTTCATTAATGTAGACTATTCCACTCTATGAATATACTCTAATTTTACCCTTCTATTGTAGAACATTAGGGTTGTTTCGGTTTCTGCTATGAATCGTGCTTCTATGAACACTCCCACATAGCACATGTGTGCTGTCTGGTATGCTTTGGAGTGGAATTGCTGGGCACGGGTATGCAGCTCCATCTCAGCAAACCCTGCCAGTCACTCCCGTTAGCAGGTTATCACACAGCTTTGTAACAAGGAATTTCCTGCTTAACTTTATCCACTTACATGGGTGTGTACTGGCATTTTATTATAGTTTTTATTTGCATTTCCCTGGTCTCATGGAGTTAACCACATTTTCATGTCTTTATTAGTCATATATATGTCCTATTTTGTGAAGTACCCATTCAAATCTTTTCTTTTGATGGTTTATCTGTTGTTTGGATTTTTGTTTTATGTATTTGTGGCAGCTCTTTATATATTCTAGATAAAAGCTATTTGTCAGATATATGTATTGCAAGCATCTCCACCCACTTTATGGCTTACCTTTTTACTTTTAATGGTGGCTTTACTGTACTGTGTTGTTTCTTAAAGGAATCTTTAAAAGGGTTTTATATCTATCATAACCCAGGAAATCTGTCAATTCCTTTGCCTCCTTTTATACCTGATTCTGTCAAGTGATTTCTTAGAAGCATACAAAACTAGTATTAGGAGGTCATTTTTAGGTTATGTATGGTTTACTACAAAGTTGTTGAGATGGTTCCTTATAACGTATGAGACTGAAAGATAAATATTTTGGTGGGGGAAACATCTTACATTTAGGCATATATAAGAATTCATCCCTCCTATGGCCAATATTTGCAGTATGTAGCTCAAATTTATTGGCGTCCTATATATCCTCAACAGTCAATTCTATGTTGTAACTGAAGGCCTTTTTCTTTATTATTGGCTGTATTGGTTATCATTGGCTGTACTTCACAAAATAGGACATATATATGACTAATAAAGACATGACGAAGGTGGTAGTAGGTGGGCAACCCCATAGCTGTCTACCACAAGTCCTTTCCTTATAGCATTTTGGTAAGAATTTCTGAGATAATGTATGTAAAATTTATTAATTCTCCTACCTCGCATCTCTTCAAAGCCTGCTACCTGATAAGCACTGATCTCGCTAAAGGAGAACCAGCTGGGAACAAAATAGACACGCAGCCTTGATTTAGAGGTGCTTATAATTCAGAAAAAACACTAGAACCACACTAGCCACTCAATAAATACTGGCCATTATGGTGGCCCATTGGCATGTGCATATGGGGAGTAAAGACTGGTTTGGAGCAGAATCCTGCGTTGCACCAGTGCCCCATACTCAGGGAGTACCAGTTGTGAAGATAATACCCTGAGTTCATATATCCCGAGACCGGACTCAGTGGGACCTGATCTCTGCTAGCTGACCTCATGTGGAAGATGCAAGATTAGAGAACCAGCCCAACTGAGTCATTGTTGCCCAGGTCTCCCAGGCTCACCCAGGAAGAACTGGGAAGCCCCCAGATGCAGCTGTTGGCCAGAACTCAGCCAATGCCATATGGCTGAACTGCATGGATGACCTTAATGCAAGCATGCCTCTGCCAGGCTCTCCCCAGTGCGCTTGCTGCCATTTCTCCCTTTGCATCGACACATTCCTCAGTTGCCCCAGTCAACTTACAATGCAAAGCGTCTGTGAGACACTGGACTCCTGTAACGTGCAGAAGACGAAGATGACTGAGGTTTTCGAGTTTGGCACAGGAGCAGCATTCCCAGTGAGAACATCATGGGCCAGGCATAGCTGGACACAAATCTTAAATGTAGAGGGCCTGATACTGGTCACTGCAGTTCTTGCTAAGGCTGTTGGTGTGAGGTCTGTGTCTGTTGTGTGTGGGCTGGGGTGAGAAGACAGAAACAATCTGTCACTATTTTTACTAGAATTCTTCAAAGTAGCTGCTCTTCTACCACAGGTAGGCTGGATGTGCAGGGAAAGCAATGTACCGGCTGGATCTATAGCAACTGTAATCAAAGCGGCCACTTTACTCTTTGTTTTTTTAAATTAAATCCTCACCTGAGGATAAGTTTACTAATTGTTTTAGAGAGAGAAGGTAGAGAGAGAGGGAAAGTGAAACATCCACTGATCAGTTGCCTCTCGTATGCACCTAGACTGGGGATCGAACTCACAACCTAGGTATATGCCCTGACTGGGAATTGAATCCACCACCTTTCAGCATATGGGACGATGCTCCAACCAACTGAACCACACTGCCCATGAGCCACTTCACTCTCTCAGTGTCAGATTCCACAGGAGGCAGTTGAGGAGGGAGGACCAGACTCTGGTTTTACAACATGCACCACAGAACCTTCAGGCTTCCTCAGAGAAACTTGTGGAGTCACCTGCAAGGGACAAAACTTCTGGAGCCACCTGCAAGGGACAAAACTTCTGGAGCCACCTGCAAGGGACAGGTGGAAGGGCCTGAGTGTATGCCTCCATCCCCACCCCTATCCCACCACAGAAACTCTGCTTTTAACTATTGAGCGTTCTGTGGTTCTAGATAAGATTTAGTTTGGAAATAATACACACACACACACACACACACACACACACACTCACGAGGATTGCTACAATTTATTTAAACGATGACANCACACACACACACACACACACACACACACACACACACACACACGAGGATTGCTACAATTTATTTAAACGATGACACCCTAAGATTTCTTTTGTGATCAGTTGACATGGGTAAGTCAATCAGAAAATGTTTTTTTCAAATTCAAAGTTTTAATGGCTGTTAAATAATAAAAGGAAGGCTATTTGTACTAGGTACATTCTGTCCACTGATGGTACTGTTAGCTGGCCATGCACATTTTATTGCACACATAAACAGTATACAAGGATCTTAAAGACATTTTAGCTACACAAGGACTGCATTTAGAAGGAAGAAAGCCATTTTACAAAATATAAAAGCCATTTGTATTATACAGACAACTTCAAGAAAATAACTGAAAATTAATATCAAAAGAAAAATCTTAATTTTGAAAAAGAAATCTCTCAAAACAAGAATTATAAAGCTTCATATTACCATATATACACATAAAAAAAATATTTCAGGACCCTGCATCTGAATGCCCATCAAGGTGCAGCAATCAAAATTCTTACTTTTATAACCAACCTTTGAATGTTGCTTATATTGAATACGCTCTTTGTTCAAAATGTCTTTCTCTTTACATCATCATGCTATTTGACAACAGGTATTTGTGCAGTACAGGAAAATATTAAACTATATTTTAAGTTAGGTTAAAGTGCACAGTACATTTAATAGGAAATAACTGAAAGCTGCCAATTCAAACCACCATGTTCAGTTACCCCTCCACCTTGCCCAGAGCAGAGGGCAGCCGTGGCCTTGGCCGATGTTAGACTGTGCTCAATGCACACCATCTTCCTGGTGTCTCTTCTTTTGTGCTCACCTTTTATTTCGCTTACAAATTGTGGCTGCTGCTGCTCTAAAAACTTGCAATGGCTTTTCAAAGAGTTGAAGAGGTGGTGAGCATTCACAAGACTGTGACAGGTGACTGACTGGAACATGCGGGAGTGCCGGGTGAAGGCGTATGCACAGACTGCCTCCCGACAGGCTGCTGTGTCTGGGAAGCCTTGCGTGGGTCTCTCAGACCAGCAGGTACCTTTGCTTTGCTGGATCTCTTCTTGTCATGTTTCCTTTGACCTAGCTCCCTGCTAGGCCACTCAGTCTCACAAACACCACTTATTTAACCTCTCCTGAGCCGGCCTTGTTGCACCCACCTGCCTCACCAACTTACTGACTCGCTATTATAGTTTCATACCAGAGACCACGAATCTTGCTGTGTTTCATGGGCTACTCTGAAAGCCACCAACTAAGTTACAATAAAATGAGCATGTCCACATCTCAAAATCTTTTCCTGTTTTAAAACTGGCAGTTGTAAGAAGTGCTGGTTTCCTGACCAGGTCGTATGTGTCTGATATAACTCTTCATCACTTTCAGTCGAAGCTGCCCTTAAAAAACTTTTTGGTTAAACAATAAACTTAGTATCATCTCCACTTTCCTATACCATTTTCTTATTTCCTTTGGTACTAGACTTCTTTAATTCCCAAGTTACAGTGCAAAATTATACTTCAAGACATATGATGCTAACACTTATTACTTTTTTGTGTTAAAATGTGAATGTTCTGTGTATAGCAAAATAAGTATGAATCCAAAAAAATAACTGTTCACATTTTATCTTCAAGCTTAATGTCCTTTTTCCCCATCACAGCTATTTACAAGTAACTTTGGGATGCTCTCTTGATTTCAGTCAGTTTATTATATCAGGGGACAACAGGGCTGCTGGAATGTAGGGAACTGGATGGAATGCAGGAATAAATAAGACCAATGTTCTAGAAACCAAAGTGTAATAATGCCTCCCCAGAAAACAGTTCTTGTCACAGAAGCACCTGTTTTTGCTTAATTTTTTTTCTGAGTCATATATTCCAGAAAACATGATTACTGAGATCCAGAACTGCTGCACACCAAAGAGAATAGAAAATAACTCAATATTTATAATTTAAAAAGTGTTGAACCACAAAAAAGCAGTAATAAAATAGTTTCCTAATTTACAATTTGCATCCAAAGGATGAATAACAACTCACTAATAAATAATATTTATATAAATATTTTGTATGTTGAAAATAGTTTTTTAAAAGGCAATGGTCTCAAGAAACTTCTTGAAAAATTTGGTGGTGAAAACCTGGGTTGAGTTCCCCTTCCCCCACTAAATATACAATGAGTTTGGCGTTAGTGAAACAAATGCATCTTGCTGCAGAACAGTTGTGCTTGGTGTTTTGGTAATGGCAGTGGGTGAGAGTGGAAGGGGTGCAGGAGGTTGTAAAGGCATTAATGTGCTGTTAGCTCTTCGTAACCAGCTCCCTCACTGGCTTCAAGATAAATACCTGCCACATCTTAATGTCGGAGGTCAGTCCTGAAAGGTAGAAAATCTTCTCTTAGGTCCTCCCTCAAATGCAACTAGACTCATGGACACAGGCAATGAGTGGGCGGGTGGGGGGACTGGTGCTGAGAGCAGAGTTCAGGATCTCTGATGGGAGAAGGGTTTGGGCCAACCCAAAGGACAGGAGTTGGTTTCATGTGAATAGAGCCTTCGTTACAGTCACGTCTAGCAATGCTTGAACAGTAATGCCCACTTTGACCAGGCCTTTCTCTTCAAGGATGTGATGGGGTAGACATAGTTTTTCCTAAAAGAAAGAACAAACATCAATTTTTAGATGACTGGTACCTAATCATAAAATCTTACAACAGCACTGATGGTGGTTGAGCTCAGACCATGTTCCCTCCCTTGCTTTCAGCCCATTACATGGACCTTTACTGTATTTGCAGAGAAAATAATGATTTTACACAAATAAGGGTTGATCTAGAAGAGTGCCCAATCATCCTGAAATCTGGAATAGACCTAAACATTTAACAAACCTTTAAACCTGAATAAATGAGCTACACACAGTCAGCTGGAAACCACACATCAAGATCATATTACCTTATATTCTTATAAAGCAAATTGCAAATAGCCTTTCACACATTTTAAAGGAACTCAAATACTCATTTATACAGTCCATGCACTGTTCTACTGACCATAAACTTTGGTTTAATTCATTTTATTTCCCGTGACCTCTGGAGCAAAGGCATGCTGGTGGATTGGTATTCGTTCCTCTTGGTTTATGAACAGCCTTGTAAATAAGTAATTTTCAATAGCCTCTCTTTAAGTCTCTTTCATACAGCTGTCAAAGACACAAATATCCCGCTACTTTCTCATGTTGTATTTTTGCTCTTAGGAAATGTTCAGCACACACAACTCAAGGAAAGCAATGAATATGAGTCACTCCTAGTATGTAGAACCTTGCATACAAAACAGTTTATAAAATAACATGACAAAGTAATTTTACGCCTTTATCATTTGGCTCTGGGGATGAGGGAATCAGCTGCCATAGTGTCTCCTTGGCTCAAAAAAGACTCCACAGCAAACACTGCCTCTTTTCTACCCCACGATGGTATGTTCTCCACAGCCTAATGACCACTGTTCTTAAGGAAAGTTTAAATGTAGACAGACAGTGTTCCATAGGAACAAGTCAGGGTCTCTGGACAGACTGCTTCCTTTTCCTGTGACTCTTGCTTGAGGAACCAGACCTTCCTTTTGCTTCAGTGGTAGGACTCTCCATACTTAATAGATACAGGCCTTCTGGTCTTAAAAAGGTCTTCAAAGAACACACTATGACATCTCCAACAACTTGTTACACTGTCTCAAAGTGTCAGTTTTCCTACACTGTCTCAACCATCTTCCTACCCCCACCTCTAACTCCTTCCCTAACTTGAGGTAAATTCAGAGTATCTCAGACTCTAACTCTAGGTCTTAAAAAGTAGCCACATGTCAACATAAGACAGCTGATTAGTTGAAGCACAATTCAACCATTATTTCATGTGGCTGCTGTGCATCTATATCAATTATCTTGTTGCCAATAGCATATTAGGTAGGCATGCAAGTTTATGCTCCTTGCCAACTTAGTAGCTAAATGTCAACCAGAGAAAGGGTGGGAGGTCCCATCTGAGTTGAGCTGCGCACTGTGCACTGGGCCAGGATGGGCAGTGTGCTTCCTCCTTGTGCCACAGCCAGAGGCCAGTGTGTACTCTTCCCTGATGCCACAGGCTTGTGAAGTCATCTGAATCTGGCATTTCATTGCTAAGGTTGGTTCCACCAGGGCAGCATGTGCTGTTCTCATTCTTTTGACCCTTACAGCACCCAAGCCAACATCTGGTCTGGTAGAAAATTTTAAATGGCCACTAATTATGGTTAAGCTCCTAGTGCAGGGCATTAGTTGGGGAAAAAATAAAATCTTCATTTTATAGCCTATGCTAAAAGTAATCTGAATTGAATTAAAGAGTTAATTGTGTGGTGTTTTTTTTAAAGAACACCACCTCTCTTAATAAGATATAGATGAATATTTATATTTTCTCTTATTGTCTAAGCTAATAAAAGCAATATTAAGAAAATCACAAGACAAAAAGTTAAAAACATTCATTGCTTAAAAGTTTAAATCTTCCATGTGTCAAAAACCCCTACATAATTAAAAGATAAAAAAACTGTAAAAAAGTATTTGCATCAAATTACAAGGGTTTTACATGACACATAAGCTCAATAAATCAGCAATAAATACATTGAGACTGATGAAACATTAGGCAAGGAACACAAATTGAAATTTTAAAATGAGGGTTATGCTCAAGGCATTTTGAAGAAGACATTTTACTTCTTGACCTCAGTGTTTACTTAGGCTTCAACCTGAATGTCCCTGAGTTCTAGTGCTAGTATTTTCACAGGGCCTAATCTTTGTGTACTACATGGCTTTTACGGGGTTAGGTGTCCTATCCTGTGTCCTGCTTGAGATGGGACAGGTCTCCATTAATGACTGTCCCAGTCCCATGGATGAGTGGTGGCTCCTGAAGAGGTTCCAAGCTAGTGGTCACGGTTGGGAAAGACTGAGGGCTCCAGAGAGACAGCGATGGGAAGGAACTGAGGCCTCAGCCTCCTGTCAACAGGGCTCTGGAGACACAACAGAGTTAGCTAAAGGTCACCATCTCTCCCAGGCCTTTATTTCTCCATCCAGCACTTCTCACCTTCCTGGTCTCCTCATTCCTAAACCAGGTGCAGAGTCCAAGAGTCTCCCCTCGGCCCTTACAGCTGGGAATGAGGACCAAAGAAAAGGCAGAGGAGATACCCTGTGCATCCTGGCGCCTTTCTCCTCTCGTTCAGCCCCCGAAGCAACCAGGGGTGCCCTCAGGTTACCCTGATGGGGTGGGATGTACCTAAGGAGAACAGCGTAAGATAAAGAAATCCTCTCACAACACCGCAGTTCCCGGTATTTTATCAAGGACCGTGGAGAAGACTGACTAGAATTATGAGCTGAGGCCCTGGTTGGCAGGATGAGCAAGGGGAGCCTACCGGAAATGAGGGGTGACGCCGAGGGCCAGGAAGCCATTTTCCACCCCACTGGTCCCGCCGCAGAGCAGGGGACCCCAGCAGCGAGCTCCAGGCTGGGATGGGAAAGGAAGCGCTGCAGACTTACAGCTGGATGAGAAATGATGGAAAAGGGCCACCTCATCTTGTATGTAATGGACAAAGCCGAGATTGTTGTACCTTCACAGTGACTTAAAACGCACTTAAATTTCAATGTTAGAGGAGCCTAACGGCTTTCCTTGAGAATATGGCAGCACACCTTCCAGTATACCCGCGAGCTTCTTTTGTTGTGTTTCTTTTTAAAGCATAGAACAGTCATAAATTACTGTCTTGCATAAAAATGCTCCTGACCTCCTCTGAAGAATTCATGCTTTATCTTTTCTCTCTAGCGGTGGAATCACTGAGGTTCACTCACATCCCCTCACGCCCCCTCTTGCGAACTGAGGCAAACGGGGCTGGAAAAGGCAGGCAGGCCACACGCAACCACTTGCTCACTTGGACTCCCAGGTACCTCCGATACGCCTGCCACCAACGCTACAGATTTGCACTGATTATTCCTTTACGACAACCTTGTCAGCTATAACACCTTTTTGTTTTACAGACAATAAAACTGAGATGTAGAGCATTTAAGTGACTTCGCTAAAGTCACACAGATGGTAAGAACTGGAACCAGGATTTCGAACGTGAATCGTATTTGAGTTGAGGCTCCTTCCAGACATCATGCTGCTTCCCGTAACGTCCTTGATTAACAGCGAGTATGTTCCGTCTTGTGCCCATGAGACAGAAGAGGCTCTGGACCCTCAAATTCCTATCCAGGCAAGACTCAACACGTTCAACGTCAGGTGGGGGACCAGGGACCTCTCAGCTTGGTGAAAGCCATTAGCTGTCACCCAGCTCATCTGGCTTCTCCCCATGGTGGGGGCGGGAGCAGGCGGACTGCCGCACCATCACTGCCTGGCTCTCCTCTTTCTGTGGCCTTATTCTCCAAAACAGCTACACACCTACTTCCCAGGACAACTGCTGAACAAAATGAAGTCATTCACATCTGCATATTTCATCTAAAGTGTAAATTCCTGGCACTAACTTGATTGAAACTTGCAACAAAATGGTCTCAGTACTTTGATGTAAGAGAATGTCATGTTCCTGGCTCTGCCACAGGAGCACTCGGAGGGTCAGTGTCTTCCAGTGTAAAATGAAGGCCACGTCAGATGCTTAGAGATGTCTTGTCACTCTTCATTTGATTCTCTGCTTTCCAAGCATGCTGCCTTCTAGGCCTTCCTGGCTCTAGAACACTTCATTCTCCTAAAACATCTGCCCCTTCTCTCATCTCCCTAATCTGTACCCCTTTCATCTGGCTATTCCTACACACCTCCTAGCTCCTAGGTCTCCGTGTAAACATCACGTTCAGGGAGGCTTCACAGACCACCTGCTCCACCCCCACACCCATCAGGGTCAGGTCCAGAATCTTGTACCCAATCTACCACAGGTCCTTATCACAACAAATTCCTCTTTATTTGTCCCCTAGATCCACTAGATCAAGGTCCAAAAACTACAGCCTGCCAGCCAATCCAACCCATAGCCTATTTTTATAAATAAAGGTTTTTTTTCTATTTTAAAAAATATATCTTCATTGATTTCAGAGAGAGGGAGAGGGAGAGAGAAAGACAGAAACACCAATGATGAGAGAGTCATCATTGATCGGCTGCCTCCTGCACGTCCCCGACTGGGGATCGAGCCCACAACTAGGGCATGTGCCCTGACTGGGAATCGAATCAAGATCTCCTGGATCCTAGGCTGATGCTCAACTGCTGAGCCACACCTGGCTGGGCTGTAAATAAAGTTTTATTGAAATTCAACCATGCCCATTCATTTACAAGTTGTCTATGGCAGCCTTGACACAATAGCGTAGTAGTCATAACAGAGCTTATATGGCCCGAAAAGCCTAAAATATTTACTATCCTGCACTTTACAGAAAAAGTCTGTTGAATCCTGGTCTAGACTGTGGCTTTTTGAGGACAGGTGTCAAGGTCACCATTCTACACCCAAGGCCTACCATGGGGCCTCGCACAAAGTCCTCATTCAATAGTTGAAGAATGAATACAAGCATAACCAAAATTGTGGTGAAAATCCAAGGAACTAGATCCTGATAGTCAAAGAAGGAAAAAATACATCCCCTATATACCTGGTTGTTTAATTGAGAACTAATTTCAAAATCTGAAGCCTAAATTAAAAAAT